TGCCTTCTCCTGCATGATAGTCACGCGGCTCCTTCTGCATGATGGACATGTGGCTCCTCTGGCATGATAGACATGTGGCTCCTCCTACATGATAGTCATGTGCCTTCTCCTGCATGATAGTCACGCGGCTCCTTCTGCATGATAGACATGTTGCTCCTCCTGCATGACAGACATGTGGCTGCTCCTGCATCATAGAATGATGACAGACGGACTGACTGCTGTCAGTCTTAAGCCAATGACTTTCAGTTAAAATTCTTTTTTGTGTTTCTGTTCTTAAACTGCTGGCACTTCATAAACCACGGAACGGGTGGGGTTTCAACCCATGACGCAAAAACTCCAGGCCAGTGCGTAAACCACTTGGCTGGGAGTCATGGCATTGAATGTCTGTAATGTACTCCCTCTTGAAGACTTCTAAAGACCAATGTGAGATGGAATCCACAGGTGTAACAGCTTGGCTGATCAGGTCCTGATCCACTGCGAGGCCTGGTCATGGACCGGGCCGCGGGGGCGTTGACCCCCGCAACACCCTCCAGGTATACTCCAGGTGTACTGTGACCCTACTGTCCACAACCCTACCATACCTGTGTCTGGCTTCTGACATAAACATGCCACAACTGCCACTCGTGGAATTAAGAGCATTTATGGATAATAAACAGTGACAACTGGAGTGTCAGTCTTATATACGTGGACGCACTGAGTGTAAGAAGAATGGTCAACAGTTCAGTTTGAAGGGTAGAAGCCAAGAGCTGATGCATGATCGCTCTGATAACAGTGGCACTATCAGCTGCACCATTAGGTCAGTGGAGAGTGCCATCAACCAGCATAATTTGTGGAAGAGAGTGCTCTGTGACCAAGGTATCACTGTAATTTAAAACAACAACGTACTTGGCTTCAAAGTGAAGCTAGTGTTGTGATTTAATAAGCTTCTCTGGGCGAGAGGGACTTAGGGGCACCTAAGTTCCCTCATCTTCAAATAACATGTTCATTTTTCCACTATAATTCATCTTGCCCATAATTACTATTACATTTGTTTGTTTAATAATGTGAAGTTCAGGATCTTTCCTTAATTCATGGTAAAACTTAACAAATCTTTGATGACAGTTGTGTTGCAGAGGTCTCAGCAAAACTAAGATCTCTGCAACACAAATCCCTTAGTGAGTAGTTCCTACCCACTAAGGGTAGGAACTACCCCCCTTAGTGGGTAGATCCTATCTACTAAGGGTAGGAACTACTCCCTTAATGGGTAGTTCCTACCCGCTTAGTAGGTAGGAACTACCAAGTTACCCATGGCAGCGGGACAGTGTTGATGTTGCTTGATTTGACAGACATTGTATCTGATTTCAGTAACCAGTGGCACCAATCCAGCAGAATGTTCTCAGTATATGAACATGGAGCTGGGAACAATCTCTAGCTGCGTCTGTTCACCTAACAAGCGTTATTTTCGGGCCCCGGTATACCGTGGGTAACTGAAACCGCAGGTACCAGACCCGCGGATACCAGACCCGCGGATACCAGAACCGCGGATACCAGAACCGCGGATACCAGACCCGCGGATACCAGACCCGCGGATACCAGACCCGCGGATACCAGAACCGCGGATACCAGACCCGCGGATACCAGACCCGCGGATACCAGAACCGCGGATACCAGACCCGCGGATACCAGACCCGCGGATACCAGACCCGCGGATACCAGACCCGCGGATTTCCAGAACCGCGGATAACAGACCGCGGATACAAGAACCCCGGATACCAGACCCCGGATACCGACCCGCGGATACCAGAACCGCGGATACCAGGGCCGCGGATTACCAGACCGCGGATACCAGACCCGCGGATACCAACGCGGATACAACGCGGATACCCAAAAAGCGGATACCAGACCCGCGGATACCAGAACCCGGATACCAGACCCGGATACAACCGCGGATCCAAACGCGGATACAGACCCGGGATACCAAAAAACCCCGGATACCAGAAACCGCGGATACAGACCGCGGATACCAGACCGGATACCAGAACCGCGGATACCAGAAAACCCCGGAACAGACCCGCGGATACCAGACCCGCGGATACCAGAACCGCGGGATACCCAGAAACCCCCGGATACCAGAACCGCGGTTTCCCGACCCGCGGATACCAGACCCGCGGATACCAGACCCGCGGTACAGACCCGCGGATACCAGACCCGGGTACCGACCCCCGGATCAGAACGCGGATTAAACCAGACCCGGGATACCAGAACCCGGTACCAAACCCCAGGATACCAGACCCGCGGATACGGGGTGCCGCGTTAGTCCCCCTTATTATATTTTTGTTAAAAATTATGAGCGATTTTTACTGTAGCTATTTAAATTTGGAATTACCTGGGTCCCAGTGGAAATAAGTATTGTGCTATTTTGGATTTTCTTAAGTAAGTTTACATATGTGCTATTGGCCATCTAGAATTGTATAATTATTCCTAAAATAATAATAATAAATAATATATAATAATAATATATATTATAATAATAATAATAAAAAGATAATAATAATCATAATAATAAAATGTTGTGATAATAAAAATCATAAAAATAAAAATAATAATAATTTAATAATAATAATAATAATAATTAAAATAAAAATAAGATTAATAATAATCATAATAATAATAATGTTGATGATAATAATAAAAATAATAATAATAATAATAATAAAATAATAATATAATAATAATATAATAATATAGTATTCATTTTATTTGAAGCCTGAGAAATTATCTTTAATCGAAGTCCCATAATTGATGGAGACAAAAATAAGTGTCAGGGGCCCAAGACTGTTCACTGCCTCCGGCAAAACATTTAAAAGGGATTGCCAATAAACCCTGGCTGTCTTCAAGAAAGCGTGGGAGGACATCTAAAGGCCCGTACTGACCAGCTGGACTTTGGTTGTACGCCGGTTTGTGTGCAGCCAAAAGTAACAGCGCTGATCAGAACCTGATCCACACGAGCCTGGTCTCAAACCACGCCACGGGGCGTTAACCCTAAAACCCCCTCCAAAGGGAGTCCTGGTGTTAGTCAAATGTTATAGCAGCACCTGGGGGAGAGGAGCATCGACCATTGAAGCCGCACCTCGTCTCCCCTCCCCTCCTCCCTTCTTTCTTCTGCCTTCTCTGTTTTTTTCCTGCAGTTGTATTTACCCGTGTTGACAGCAGTTATTCAACATAACTCAGCTAAAGGTCGTCCAGTATTGACACCCGACACTCCTAAATTCCTGGTTCACCTTCAATGCCCACTCGACACCCTATATACCCCTTGAGAAGCATGTATCTCAGCGTTATGTACCGAGAGGTGATATTTTCGTGTATATACACTTGAGGTGTTTTATCTCCTCAGGGTTTACACTTAGAGGTGTAATCCTCAGTGTATATACACTTAGAGGTGTATATCTCTCGTGAATACACATTAGGGGTATATTTCAGTGTAATACACTTAGAGGTGTTACTCTCAGGGTATATACATTAGAGGTGTATATCTCCTTTAGTGTATATACACTTTGTGGTGTATTTTCCCTCAGTGTATTCATTAGAGGTGTTTTATCTCTCAGTGTATTTATACACTGGTAGTTTACATTAACTCGCTATTTTGGTATTTTAAAGGGTTTTTTTTTTCTTGACTGGTGGGGAAAGGCGACATGAAGCCTTAATGATCCTTGTGTGTAGATAGGCTTGAACCTATTACCCAATTTCTTCTCGGTGTAACTAAACAGAGGTATTAACCTCGTAAAGCAGGTGAAAAGAACATTATTAAATATTTCGTCCACGTTGGTGCTTTATAAAGCACGTATGTGTACTCACCTAATTGTGGTTGCAGGGGTCGATTCATAGCTCCTGGCCCCGCCTCTTCACTGGCCGTTACTAGGTCACTCTCTCTCTGCTCCATGAGTTTTATTATACCTCTTCTTAAAGCTGCGTATGGTACCTGCTTCCACTACATCACTTACCAGACTATTCTACTTCCTGACAACTCTAGACTGAAGAAATGCTTCCTAACATCCCTGTGTCTCATCTGAGTCTTCAACTTTCAATTGTGACCCCTTGTTGCTGTGTCCCCTCTCTGGAACATCCTGTCTTTGCCCACCTTGTCGATTCCTCTCAGTATTTTACATGTCGTTATCAAGTCCTCCCCTGTCCTTCCTGTCTTCCAGTGTCGTCAGATCGAATTCTCTTAACCTCTTCTGGTAGGACATTCCCCTTAGCTCCGGGACTAGTCTCGTTGCAAACCTTTGCACTTTCTCTAATTTCCTGACGTATTTGACCAGATGTGGGTTCCATACTGGTGCTGCATACTCCAGTATGGGCCTGACGTACACGATGTACAGGGTCCAGAACAACTTCTTACTGAGGTATCGGAACGCTATTCTTAGATTTGCTAGTCGCCCATATGCTGCAGCAGCTATCCAGTTGATGTGCGCCTCAGGAGATGTGTTCGATGTTATACTCACCCCGACCCTTTTCCTTGAGTCAGGTTTGTAGTTTTTAGCCCCTAGACGTGTGTGTGTGTGTGTGTGTGTGTGTGTGTGTGTGTGTGTTGTGTGTGTGTGTTGTGGTGTGTGTGTGTTGTGTGTGTGTGTGTGTGTATGTTGTGTGTGTGTGTGTTACTGTGTGTGTGTGTGTGTGTGTGTGTGTGTGTGTGTGTGTGTGTGTGTGGTGTGTGTGTGTGGTGTATGTGTGTGTGTGTGTTGTGTACGTGTGTGTGTGTGTGTGTGTGTGTGTGTGTGTGTGTGTGTGTGTGTGTGTGTGTGTGTGTGTGTGTGTGTGTGTGTACGTGTGTGTATGTGTGTGTGTGTGTGTGTGTGTGTGTGTGTATGTGTGTGTGTGTGTGTGTGTGTGTGTGTGTGTGTGTGTGTGTGTGTGTGTGTGTACAAACATACAAAGAAGTGACCTCATGAGTGCATCATACAGGGAGACGCATAAGTGCGTCATACAAGTAGACGCACTGGCTGACGCAGCTTTGGACGTACCTTATATGCGTGTGGAAGTTGATGGTGGCCAGGATGATGACGTAAGGCACGACGTAACGATAAACTCTCGTCATTGTTCACCAATCACGGCATAGGAGGGATTAGTACAATGACGTAACTGATGCTGTTGCTGGTGGTCGTCATGTCGACCAATCACGGCCTTGGAAAGACAATGATGTAACTGATGACGCAACTGGAGGCCGCCATGTCGACCAATCACAACCCTGGGATACAGTGACGTCACAACATGGCGCCAATCATTACACTAATCCCAACACAACTAACAAAATCTTCATAACGTAACTAATCACAATCACAACAATCGTAGCTTGGCACCATTGTTCATATACAATCATTTTTTTCTTTATTTTCTCATATTAAAATCCTTATACAGAGTTTTCCAAAAAAAATTGGTCACAAAATTTTAGTGCCGTATTTTTCAAAAAAAAAATTCCATCCATTTTTTCCAGCTTATTTTTGATTTAAGACAAAAATTTTATTTTGAATTCCACTTATCAGGTTAGAATATTTCAAAACACAATCTCCAGTTTGCTGAAAAAAAAATTATTGAATATTTAAAATTTTGAAACCTAGAGATTTTTGAGAATTTTTACAGAATCTGAAGTAATTTTTACAGAATCTGAAGTAATTTTTACAGAATCTGAAGTAATTTCTACAGAATCTGAAGAAATTTTTACAGAATCTGAAGTAATTTTTACAGAATCTGAAGTAATTTTTACAGAATCTGAAGTAATTTTTACAGAATCTGAAGAAATTTTTACAGAATCTGAAGTAATTTTTACAGAATCTGAAGTAATTTTTACAGAATCTGAAGAAATTTTTACAGAATCTGAAGTAATTTTTCAGAATCTGAAGAAATTTTTACGAATCTAAAGTAATTTTTACAGAATCTGAAAAAAATTTTTTACAAAATTTCTAAAGGGAAATTTTTTACAGAATCGGAAGTAATTTTTACAGAATTAAAAGAAATTTTTACAGAATTGAAGAAATTTTTCGGGTCTGAAGTAATTTTTTAAGTATCTGAAGTAATTAATTTTGATAAAAAGCCTTTTCAACATATTTTTTTATGAAATAACAACACTGCGATACCCGGGGAAATGAACCCATGTCGTTTTGGCCGCGGGTTTGTGAGCGGAAATCACATGCGCTCAAACCCCACAGACCAGCAATCCTACAAGAATAAAGAAACCCGCAGGCGGGGTTTTGGTTTTACTTGAAAATTTTAAAAATGCTTGTGGGGGCCCTTGTAACCAAATGGGGTTTAGAATAAAAATTAGCTCAGAGGCACCCAACACCCCCGTTTTGTTCTGGGGTTTCAGGGTTAAAACCCCCAGCTCTGCGGGGGTGCTTGACTTTGTGTTTTGCGTGGTCTTGGGGTTAAAAGCGCAGGGTGATTTCCGCTCACTATCGGGGGCCAAAACGCCCAGGGGTTCGATTCCTGGTAGTCGAAGTGTTGTTATTGGGTCAACCCCCACTTTTTTCGGGGTTTTACAAAAATTGCATATTTATTTTATATATATATATATATATATTATATATATATTTTATTTTACATTATATTTTAATATATATATATATATTTTATATAATATATATATATATATATTTTAAATATTTATATATTTTAATATATATTTTTTAATATATTTTATATAAAAAATTTTTATATATATATATAATATATTTTATATATATATTAAAATATATTATATAGGGTGTGTGTGTGTGTGTGTGAGTGTGTGTGTGTGTGTGTGTGTTTTGTGTGTGTGTGTGTGTGTGTGTTGTGTGTGTGTTTTGTGTGTGTTGTGTGTGTGTGGTTTTGTGTGTGTGTGGTGTTGAATTTATGATGATTGAAAACAAAAAGGGAAAACCCTTAACTAGTGTTCGCACTTGACGGGGGACGTCGGTGAAGGGTAGCGGCCCACACAGCGCGAGACGAGGTCAAAAGGCACAGCAGGGGAGCCCGGAGGTCAAAAGAACAGCGCGAGACAAAGGTTTCCACAGCACGCGGCGAAAACAAAGGGTCACACCCACAGCAGCGGGCGGGGTCACAGCACAGCAGGAAAACGAGGTAAAGCACGCAGCGAGACGGGGGCCCACCCCACGCGGCGGGGAGAGGTCACACACCGCGGCGGGCGAGGTCAAGCACAGCGGCGAGACGAGGTCACAGCCAGGGGCGAACGGGGTTTCCCCAGCACGCGCGAGACGGGTCACAGCACAGCAACGAGACGAGGTCACAGCACGGCAGCGGGGACGGGGGTCACGCACAGCAGCGAGACGAGGTCCCAGCACACCCGGAACGAGGTCACAGCAAAAGGGGGCGGGGACGGGTCACCCCACCAGCGGTTGACGGGTCACAGACAGCGGGGGAAAAGAGGTAACAGCACAGCAGCGGACAAAGGTCACGGCACAGGGCCCGAGACGAGGTACAGCCGAAAAAAAAGCGAGACGAGGTCACAGCACAGCAGCGGGGACGGGTAAACAGCCCCAGCACCCGGGACGGGGCCCACAGAAACCGCAGCGAGACGGGTCACAGCACAGCGGCGAGCGAGGTCCCCGGGAACAGCGCGGGCGGGGGGTCACACCCACAGAAAGCGAGAGAGGTCACAGCACACCCTCGAAAACGAGGTTTCACAGCCAGAGCGAGACGAGGTCACAGAAAAGGGCGGCGGGACGAGGTCACAGCACAGAGCGAGACGAGGTCACAGAAAAGGGCGGGGACGGGGTCCGCACACCCAGCGAGGGAGGTCAAAGCAAAGCGGGGAAAAGAGGTCAAAAGCACAGCAGCGAGACGAGGTCACAGCAAAGGGGGGAAACGAGGTCACAGCACGGCAGCGGGGGCAGGTCCCCACCCAAAGCGGCGAGACGGGGGTCACAGCACAGCACCCGAGACGAGGTCCAGCACACCCAACGGGACGCAGGTCACAGCCAGCGGCGAGACGGGGTTTAAAGAAAAAGAGCGAGACGAGGTACGCAAAGCGGCGGGGAACGAGGTCAAAGCCACAGCAGCGAGGAAGGAACACCCAAAAGCGCGAGACGAGGTCACAGCACAGCAGCGGGGACGGGGGTCACAGCACAGAAAAACCGAGACGAGGTCAAACCCAAACGCGGCGAGACGAGGTCCCAGCACAGCAGGAGCGAGGTCACACCCTAAAGCGGGGGGAAGACAAAAGGGTCCCCACCCACAGAGCGAGACGGGGTCACAGCAAAGCGGGGGGGACGAGGTCACGCACACAGCGAGACGAGGTCACAGCAAAGCGGCGAGACGAAGTCCGCCCCAGCGCGAGGGGAGGTCACAGCACAGCAGCGAGACGAGGTCACGCACAGCAACGGGGACGGGGGCACACACAGCGGCGGACAAAGGTCACGCACGGGCAGCGAGACGAGGTCCCCAGCACAGCTGCGGGGGACGAGGTCACACCCACAGCGGCGAGACGAGGTCACAGCACAGCAGCGGGGGACGAGGTCACACCCAAAGCAGCGAGACGAGGTCACAGACGCGGCGGACGAAGTCACAGCACAGCGCGAGACGAGATCACAGCACACGGCGAAAACGGGGTCACAGCACAGCGGCGAGACGAGGTCACACCCACAGCGGCGAAAACGAGGTCACGCACAGCGGCGAGACGAGGTCACGACAGCGGCGAGACGAGGTAAAAGACAGCGGCGAGACGAGGTTTCACAGCACAGCGGCGAGACAAGGTACCACCCAACGCGGCGAGACAAGGTCAAGCACGCGGCGAGACGGGTACAGAAGTGCGAGACGAGGTCACAGCACAGCGGGGGGGAAACGGGTCACAGAACAGGGGCGAGCCCCAAAAGGTCCCCAGCACAGCGCGAGACGAGGTCACAGCACGCGGCGAGCCGGGTCACGCACAGCAGCGGGAGGGGGGTCACAGCACAGGGGCGAGAAAAGGTCACTTTCCAGCAGCGGATGGGCCCACAGCACAGGGGCCCGAGCGGGGTCACAGCAAAGCGGCAAAGACGAGGTAAACAGCACACTGCGAGAGGGAGGTCAAGCACAGGGGCGAGACGAGGTCCAGACAGCAGCGAGCCGAGGGTCACGGGCACAGGGCGGGGAAAGGTCACCCCACGGGCAGCGAGATGAGGTACGGCACAGGGCGGGGGACGGGGTCACAGCACAGCTGCGAGACGGGTCAAAAGCACGCGGCGAGAGGGAGGTCACAGAAAAGGCGAGACGGGGTTTCACGCAAAAGGCGGCGGGAAAAAGGTTTCACATCACAGCAGGAGATGAGGTCACCCCACAGCGGCGAGACAAAGGTTTAAAGGCACAGCGCGGGGGACAGGTCCAGCACAGCAGCGAAAACGAGGTCACAGCTCGCGGCGAGACGGGTCACAGAACAGCAGCGAGAGGGGGGCAAGTCAGCGGCGAGACGGGTCACACAAAGCGGCGAGCCCAAAGGTCCAGAACAGCTGCGAGTCGAGGTACAGGACTGAGACTTTTCAAGTTTCTCTGTTCGACAAAAGTCTTCCCTAAAGAAAAGTAACGAAATCGTAAATCATTCTTTATCATATCTTCCCCCTTTCACCCTCATCATTCTTTCATCCACATCATCATGACCCACAGCATCCTAAACCTTCTCATCTTCACCTCCTCTTAAACCACGCATCCAGAAACCACGTAAACTGAAGGTCGCCCTAAAAATTTTTTCCCCGGGGTCACCCAAAATCATTACTCCCAAAAGCTAGGGGGCCTCACTCCCAAAGAAAATGGCCCACACTCCCAACAGCTACTGGCCACACTACCACACCCCCACTGGACCACACAAACCACAGTACTGGCCACCCTTCCCACAGCTACGGGGCCACACACCCCCAGTTTACTGGACCACATTTACCACAGCTACTGGCCACACTACCACAGCTAGGGGGCCTCATTTTCCACACTACTGGACCACATACCACAGTTTGGCCCAACACTCCCACGGCTACTGGACCACACTCCCACAGCTACTGGCCCCAAAAACTACCACAGTAGTGGACCACCCCTACCACTGCTACGGGCCACACTACCACAGCTACGGGACCACACTCCCAACATTTGGAAAACCTCCCACGCTACTGGCCACACTACCACAGCTCGGGAAACCACACTCCCAACAGTATTTGGGCCCTCATACCACAGCTATTGGCCCACACTACCACAGCTATTTGGCCCCACACTAAACGTACGGGGCCCAACACTAAACAGTACTGGACCAAAATTACCACACCCTACGGGCCCCCAATTCCCAAAGCTATGGACCACACTAAAAAACTCCCCCCTTTGGAACATTTCCCACAGCTACTGGAACCTTTTTCCACAGCTACTGGCCCCCAAAATTCCCCAAAACTACTGGCCAACACTACCAAGTACGGGGACCCAACATTCCCACAGTTTTTACTGGCCCAAAATACCAAGCTACTGGACCACACTACCACAGCTAGTGGCCCACATTTCCCAGCTCGGGGACCCACTACCACAGCTAGTGGCCCCAAAACTACCACAGCTACGGGGCCCCACATACCAC